CAAAGAACATGGCACATGGGCTATCTTAGAAAGGTTTCCTCTTACTTAATTTGTTTTTTGGAAAATCTAACGTTGACTTTATTTTGCTTTCTTACCTGACGTCAAGCTTGTTTTCTATACCTATTCATGAAAGTAGCCTGGTTGAAAATCTTGTGGCATAGCTTTCACTTGTTTTAAAAAAAAAAAAGGTCACCGTTCTACTCTGATTTACAAACAGAACTAAGGGATAAGTCTTGGTTCCAAGTTGCTGATAATTTTTTCCTTGTATTACTGGATGTAGTTGCCATTTTTCCTTTGTTTTATGAAATGTTCTAAGCCTAGACATCTCTCTCACATCATTAGTGATGTGATCAGTCTTCATTTTCTGTTTATGCTAGACTTAGATCATGTTGGAAATGAGCCATACGCATTTTGGAAAACGTAATGCAGATAGTTTGTCTTAAGTCTGTAGCTTTGCAATATGGTACAGTTTAAATGTACTGAAAGGGAAAATATTTCCCAAGTTATCTGTGAAAGGTAGTTAGGTCCATTGTTCCATTAATTCATTTCTTTCTGCTGTTAGTCTAGGTCAGTTGTCAGAAAGTCTAATGCAACAGTTATACAGTTCTTTGCTGTTGATATTGTGATCTTCTGAGATTTAAAGCCAGAACATAGCCACTTTTTTTTCATAAAGGCAAATCAATCAGTTAACTTCATACTTATGTAGAATACATTTCATTGCAGTTTAGGTGGGAATATCTAATGTGAGATGCATATTGGAAGAAATTAAAAATGGCACCTGCACACCCTACACTCTTGTCTTGAAAGTGCTGCTGTCCCAGGTCCCTCCATGTATTTGTGTCATACAGGGACTATTTGAAATAATTTTTTCAAGTTTACTTGATATCACTGATATTTTTGTTTCATCTTTCTCTCTACACATTTGCACATTCAAATAAAGTGATACATCGTGATGTAGAATGACTGTAAAGTACTATGTGAATTAGAGCAGACTCCTGTGTGTTGATGAATAAATCAAAACAATTACATTGACAAAACTTTCTATACTGCTTCATCCTCATGGTTATCACTGCGGTGGATTTTGCAGCTATGTGGTTAACTAACAATATTCAGCTTGTCAGAAGATTTCAAAATTAATACAGTGGTCACCAGAGCTCTGATCCGTATACCTCTAGCTCTACTGTAGGGAACTTCAACAGAATCAGTTACTGCTCTGGACTTCATCTCAGAAGATTTAGGTTCTGTTCCTGGCTTTTCTGCTGGCTTTATGGGAAGGCCTCTTGATATCCAGTCCCATCCGAAAAACAGAAATAATATTGCAGGCTTTATTTTCAAGTAGCTTGGAGATAAGTAGATGAAAATGAATCTGTAAGAAGCAGGTTTGATATTCAGTTGGAAATTCATGTGCCTGACTGCTAAGTTCTCTGTGTTTTAACATATTCTTGAATTAGAGCATTGATCTTATACATTGAGAGCAAAGGTGGTTGAATGAGCGTGTTTTGTGACAGTAGGGATCTGAGAATAAGCCTTGCAGAGGGTGTAAGTACTAATGCCTACTGAACTGCCACAGCAGAGCACCTGTGGATCTGTGCTGTCATCTCCTTGGAGGATGCTCCTTTGTGTTCTTGGTCAGGCTGCAACAGGGCATCTTTTTTACAGAGTTAGAGGCTCAAGTAAGGAAACAAGATCTGTGGGTCATTTGAAATATGGACAATAATAGCAATTTTGTTTGTGCCTGAGAAGAGATGGGCTTTGTCAAAGTCAAATTGTACAAGAGGTTGTAAAAAGCCATGAACCATAAATACATATGGGGAAAATAGTTACTATAGATATTCACAATAGCTAATAAGAACTATGCTGATGATTTAAAGACTTCTAATCTTTGCAGCTCTCCCTGTGTTACAGCTGCCTTAAATAGCTCAAACATCTCAATCAGTAGTTTTATCTTTCATGTTGATGGATTTTGTGTGCTTTGTGGTGACAAAAGACAGGGTAATTTGGAGTAACATGATTTCTGGCATATAAATAAGGTGTAGTTCTTTTTCTGCATCAGTGAAGTTAGGAAATAAAGCTTTTTCCATACAAACAGGGACACCTGCTTGTGGTTAACTGAATCCCCCAAATAAATAAAAACTTGAGAATTAACCTTTTTTTTTTTTTTTAAAGTGAAAACCACTCCTAGGAAAAAGGTAATATTGACTATTTTGGAATACTAAATTCTGTCTGGATTTATAACATAAGATATTATTTATTTCTGTTTGCTCAAGAAATTCTTGAAAATTATTCTTAAAAAGTAATGTAGCAGTTTTCACGTTGGCTAAAGATAGTGGTCCGTCTTTCAGAGATGGACCTTCTTTCAGAGAATGATGAAAGTAGGTATCTATGGGCTAGCTTACAGAAAAAAGTTTCTTTTGAGTCCTTCTGTAAATAAAGGATGACTTGTGACCAGGAAGAGAGACTTCTGCTGTAAGGTCATAACCCAGTGAAGTTCCTTGTTGCCTATGTAGAGTAGCATTACAAAGAGACCTGCATGAATTGTGGAAATCCCCTTGAAATTCCCCAGGTGTCAGCTAAGTCCTTTAGAACCTGCCTTCTTTAAGTCAATTTGAAAAATGTCATCTAAAAAAGTCCCACATGGACATGTGTTTCATATAGTTACGCACTGGAGAACTCCTCTAAAACCTGTACGTTAATCGAGCTAGCTTAAAAAAGCAGGAAACACTCAACAGCAGAAAATATAGTTGAGGTCTGTCCTGGCTTCTGAGAGGACCTACCTGTTCCCCACAGTGGAGGCAGCAGGCTGGGGGATTTTGAGCAGCGCACATGTTTTAAAAATGGTGCCAGAGAGAACAGCTTCCAACACAGCCTTGCCAGCGTTAGCTGACCGGACTGTCTGCTGTTTATGACTGTTTTCCGAACTGTTCCGTGCAATAGCAGAAGAATTAGTGATAATGGTTACAAAGTACTGGTAGCTGCTAGTTCTTTTATCACAGGTACATATCCTAGGAGTAAATCTGTGTAGTGCAAGAATGAATATACCAACATTTGCTGACCTCATCTCTGTACTAAAGCTGTATTGGTTTAAGCTAGTGTGGGAAAACTGTGGGCAAAATAATATTATTCAGGTAAGGATGATGTGGACATAGTTCATAGTTCAACTCCTATTAAAAAAAAGAAAAAAGGCTTGTTAACTGCAGTCCTTGTAGTACAGGGTTGAAACTATTGTTTTAGTCATGTGGGCTCTGAGTATAGTTGAGTGTTTGAGCACAAGGCAGCTCAAGTTCAAATCCTTTTTGCAAATTGATACAGAATTGTCAAGGTCAAAATATGCAGGAAAACTATTACAGCTGTGCTTATGGCAGAATTTGGATGAATTCCCAAGCTCAGCTGAAAGATGGTTGTACCCAAGTTAGTTAAACGCTTCTGCTTTCTTTGTATTCACAGATATAGATGAATGTCAGTATGGCAATCTCTGTACAAACGGACGTTGTGAAAATACGGAGGGGTCTTTCAGGTGTATCTGTGGCCAAGGTTTCAAACTCTCTGCATCAGAGGATCAGTGTGAAGGTAGGAAAAAATATATTTAAAATTCATAAGGTTGCAGTTACCTTTTAGATAATATTCTTCATCTAACAGTATTCGTTTCAACAGAGAATCAACAAATATACAACACTGAAGCTAGATAACCAAAAATGTAAGAATATGTATTTCCACTTTATGGCTTCATTGGTCAGGTCACATTGAAGATTTTGCCCTTTGTTATAAAGCAAATCAAGAATGTGTAGTAATATCTATATTGTTGAATAGGAATTTCTGCAAATCCTTGGCATCTCTGTCATTTTGGAGGTTTGGGGATAGTGGCTTTCACTGCCTAAATTGCTTTTCTTTCTATCTTTTTTTTTCTTTCATGTGGGTAAGTGGAATCCAAAAAAACCAGGCTGTATCCTCTTGGAACCCAGCAGTGTTAATTAACACTGAGCTGATGCCTGCATTGGTGTCACTGCATTTCAAGCAGTACATTTGGGAGAGAGAAAGTTTGGTGTCTTATTTCTGAGAACAGAACCTGTACCTCCCAAAGTTTCAGGGTCTGCATTTCTTCAACAAAATTCACATCTGGACTGCTCCAGTAGAACAAATTTAGGTCTGAAGTCAGAGCAGAGTAGTCTGAGACAGAACCTACAGTGTGTGCAGGAGGAATTAATATCCTTAGGGAGAGGGGACTTACTGAAACTTCTCCCCGAAGGTAAAAATCTGGGAGAATGTCTCCAAGATGCGGAAGCACACAGAAACCTGAACATTTCTTTGTCAGATCTTGGTTTTTCTTCTTTTCCCTTCCCCCTACCCTTTCCTAAGTGTCTGTGTATAGCACCAAACACTTTCAGACTTCTAAGTGCTAAAAATAATACAGTAAAACTAAATGATCATTCATATAACTTTGTCAGGAAGTTTGAAACAAAACATCAGTGTAAGTGAAGTGTCTTGAGTGAGTTAAATGTGCTGTCCAGGACACACAGCAGACTGGTCTTGGGGAAACTATGTAGACAAAGTTTGACTGCTTCCTCTGAGCCTTCATGGAAAAGGGCCCTTGCCAAGCTGAGCTGGCATGAGCAGACTGTTCTTCTTAAAGTGCAGCCTTCTGAAGTAAGGACCCATACGCGTGCCCAGATGCTTCATGCAGCCCTGCAGATTTCAGTGATCCTTAAATTCAAAACTTCTGTGGTCGCAAGGGACCATTACTCAAGAGGTCAGACTATGTAGCCATAACACAGACCTGAAAAACCTCATTGAGTAACTTTCTCCTGTTTGAATTGGAGAATATTTTCAGAAAGACATTCAGCCGTGTCTAAATCCTAGAAGTGACTAAGAACATACCATATCAATTTAATTACTGTTCTTTAACAAGTATTTTATACATAAGGGAGGGAAAACAGGCTTTCTAGCTCAAACAAGACATGTGCTATGTTCTGAATTCAAAATGCCATTCCCTTCCAATATTTTGAGTTTTTCATAGGAAAATTTCAGTTTGATGTTCAAGTCCATCTGTTAACCCAGGCTGACACCGGTTTGTAAGAACTGAAGCACTGAGGGATTAGCAGTGGTTGTGGAAGCAAAGAGACATTTCCTCGTATTTAGAGGATTAATCCTGTTACAAGGCAAGTATTTAAAGGAGCCTTAAGGTACAACTTAATAGGAGAACAGCCTGTCAGTGTGCATCTGAAAACCACACCCTGTTAAAAGGTGGTGATTCTGCTGGAAAGTATTTTGTGGGTTTTGCTGACTCACTGGAGTCACTGGTTTGTTACCATTGCCAGATAAAAAAGAAACAAAAGCAGCTCTCAAGCAGCTTGAGTGTGTATTTGTGTGTCTGTGCGTACCCATTTGTGGATTGAGGGATATATTGACACTATATGAGAGAATGCTGAATGCAGTCATTACAAGGAAACCATCCAATCTGCAGTTGCGTATTTTTTATGCATTATATACTGTCTGTATTTGTTAATAACTAAGACTGAGAAAAGCAGTACTGGATACTGACACTCTGCTGTGCTGTTTTGTTCACAATGGTTATTGTATCATTTGATTAGTAACTGGTATTTTCAGATGTGTTATGTTTTCACTGTCTCTTTTGCTACAGATATAGATGAATGCCAGCACCGATCACTTTGTACAAACGGACGCTGCAGGAACACAGAAGGATCTTTCAGATGTATTTGTAGTCAAGGCTTCACTCTGTCATTCACTGGAGATCAGTGTGAAGGTAAACTTGTGGACTTAAGCTACTGATTCTTTTTTTTTCCAATGAGATCTTGAGAATTTCAGCTATAGGCATCAACCCTTTTGATAATGGGGCAGAAAGACAGACTACTTCTGTTTCTTTCTCTGTGCTTTTCTGTCAACCATTCAACAGTCCCCACCTACACAGGCACGTATTTAGTGGATTCTTAGAAATAGTCCCTGTCATCTTTCCACATACAAGAAACCAGCACATGCATTTCCAACAGTAAGATTGGAAGAGCAGTTGACATTATTACCAAAAACAATTAAGCCTTTCCAAACTTGTTGCTCAAATTCTGCCACAGAGGTTCTGTATTACAAAAGCTTCTGCCAGCATACACTATTCACATGGGGCCCTGCTAAGTTAAAACTCCTTCTCCAGCTGGTTTTGGGAACCTGTAGCCAGCTACCACAATTCCACATGTGCACCAGCAGGAAAAAATTTAGTATAAGATGAGCTCCAGGGGGATCTTCTGGAACTCACAGCTTTCACTGTCTCAGAAGGCAATCTACATACTGAGCTTGTAAAAACAAAAATAAGAGGTGAAAGAGGTACAGTAAATGTAGGTTGAAACGCTGTGTTATAGAAAACAAGAAACATTTATTATCTCGCAAGGAGAACAATTTAGTTGACCACTAATTGTCAAACATGTTTTTGCTAATGAATTATTTCAAAGCTACTTCCTCTTCTCGATCGTCGGCTATACCCCTTGACGTGGTCAGTCTGCTGCACTACTCATGGTCACCTTGAGCATGCAAAATTGCTTAGTAGCAAATTTCGGGAAAGACTGTACCTCAGTTGCTTCCTTATCTCACCCAATGGGTGAGGGGGAAGAAAAAAACTCCCTGTTAAAGTCTCACCATACATGTGGTATTTGTACATAAAAGCTTTCCAGTCTCTGGTGTGCTTTCTGTAGCTGCTGATGCCATGGAAGATACAGTTTCTTACTGCTGTTCTACCTAATAATGTTCTGCTGCTAGGTTATCCTCCACACAGCACTCTAGGAAGCAGTTCTCACCTTCTCCCCCACAGCAATAGGTCAGGAACCCTCCTCTTCAAGTGATCCAGGAAGAAGAGACAGTTTCCTGAGACAACCAAAAGGTGTCTTCTCAAGTCAAACCTGTAATATCAAGCCAGACTTTTATAATCAATTATGTTACTGGATTGTCTGTATTCAATGAGTGACAGCATCTCTTGAAGTTTTCACCAACAAGGAATAAGAATATCTTACAAAATCTCCTCAGCACAGAGATCCTCTTTGATGCTGAAGAATCTGGTCACAGAAGAACTTAACACAATCTTCTCAGAGTGAAGAGTGAAGTGGCGAATACTAGCATCACTTGCATCAGCTTCAAGAAACGTGGGCTGATGATGCAAGGCACTAGAAACTTTTGTCAAAGAATTTTGCTCTCACCTGACTTTACGACTTGTGACAGATGCAGACATACTGTGTCAAGAATCAAAGAAAAATGTGATGGAATGGATCTGTGGTCCATCCTGCCTCCCAAAGGCAGAACAGACCATATGGTGTCACTCCTGACAGGTACCAATCTAACCTGCTCTGAGCAGGCCTCAGCAGATGAGATTTCAAGCAGCCTGTGCCAGTGCTTTGTTGTCCTTGTGTTAGATTTTCTTTTTTCCCTAATGTGTGATGGTAATCTTCTGTTGCTGCATGAGTTCTTACCTCGTCCATCTTCAGCAGTAAAAGGTTCTTTCTTCTGCATAGCAGAGAGATGATGAGAGAGTGGGATACATAGCTGTTTCAAGCATTTTTGGTTACTTCATCAAGAAGTCTTACAAACCATGAAGTCTGCAGAGAGAGGTTTTGAATTAGTAAATGCTGTTAGCATGTGTGAACATAGGAAATGGTGAGTTAAACCATCTTGTAGTGAAGAAGAGCAAATGAAATACAGAAATTAATTTAAACCCATTGTAAACATTGAGGACCAAATGTTGCCAGAACTTCTCTTCAGACTGCTTTGGTGCGTTTCATAGACAAAGTAGTCATGGGAACTGTTGCTGCTCTTTGTCACTATGCAGTGGCCTCTCAGGGCAAATTCATGCTTTATCTTCTCTTCCTTGGTGCTGTTCAAGGGCAATTTTCAACAAAAATAATTTAAGAAGCTCTTAAGGCAAAAGAAAAGGGATTGGGTCATACAAGGAAAAAGAATAAAACTACTTCCTCGTCACAGGGTCTTTGTCTCATTTGCAACAGTCCGTAACCACATCTTTTGGCTTCTTCACCCAGTGACAGAGTGGTTAATTTCTACAGATAGTTTGTTCACTGAAGATTTTCATAAATGTTGCAAATCCTGCAAAAAATCTATTTATCTCTTGAAGTGGAAGAAATTCTTTTGTGCTTTCATTATATGTCTTCAATATTTTCTGAAACACAGAATATTACAGACTACTTTTTGCACCTTGGAAACAAAGTTTGGACAGACTGTGCTCGTTCTGCTGTCAGTAAGAACAATTTGTGCGACTGCTTCATCTACTATACATTCACCTCTCTTGCTTTTCCTCACCTTGGGATGTAACTATTTTTGAAGACTCCTTGAAGTACTCAATGCACCTTTAGGGAACTCAGTTGACTATAAGTTTAAATCTCACGTTCTTTTCATGGCTTTCCTTATGACTCAGTTCAGCCAGATATGCGCATGGACTACAAGGCAGAACTTCCGTAAAGAGAGTATTACTGTGAGAAGACATCCGGAGTTTCTTCTCATGATGGCTTTTGATTTTTGGATTAGCCTATCTACCTGTTTTCTTACACAGGTAAAGAGGAGGACAAAAGCAGGAAAGAGAGAACAAAAACTGTGGGTATAGAGAAGCACAGCTGTGTGGAAAAAACAGTCTCATTCAAATTCCATCCAGTTTCTCGGGCTCAGGGATGAATGGGCGGACATCTGTCACATCAGAGGGTACCCGAAAATGTATCAGGCTGTAGAGCCACAGTGATGAGCAAATCACTTGCAAGAAATGTGCTTAACTATTTAATAAGGATTTCTTCTACTTCAGAAGCTTTCTTAAAAACATAGCAGCTCAAGAAGCAGTTTGCTGGTTTGATCAGTGTACACTTGTGCAAACTTCTAGGGATATTGCAGAATTATGCTGTGCTCATTTTCAGCTGTGTGTTTTGCAACTCTCTGGCTGGTGTTTTTGTCTGGAAGCCTTTGCACAGTATTCCACTTGTTTAAGAATGAAGTTAATTTGCAAATAATTGTTCTCTACATTGGTGTGTACATGCTGTGTATGCATCCTTGCACTGAACTCTTCAGAAAACAAGAAAGCTGGACTGAGACCTTCAGTTCTATCCAAGAGCAATAGTCCACATGTCCATTCCTGTCATAAATGCCTGTATCCCCTGTAATCCAAGGCTGAAGTACCTGTAGAGACTTGCTATTTTCTGCTTGGAAATTAGGAGCCTGGAAGTACATGACCATCTTCAGGTGGGCTGTACACACACCCTTCTACTTGAAGATCGAAAAAGAGGTTATTTCCTAGTAGTCAGAGGTCTCCAACATGCATGACCACATGCATGTTTATTTTCTGTCTGCCTTATGCTCTCATTCAGCATCTTGTTCTTGAGATGAAGTGACATTGAGACTTTCTGCTGTGTTGCTCCGAATATGGGGGAACTCAAAGTGTAAGTGAATCTCTGACCTTGTCACAACAGACATGAAGTATAAATGTGCACCAGCTGGACTTACATATCAACTATATATCTCAAAGAACTCAGGTTACTGGAAAAGAGTCTATCTGAAGCATAGGAGGCTATAGTGTTCTCCTAGGACCCTTCAGAGATTCTGCTAGCCAAAATGCTCAAGACATGCATATGTAAAGGGTAGTAAAAAGCACCAAAGATCTCCAGCATGAGTCACTGTATCTGATTTTTCTGGACATTCTTGTGCAGCAACCATAGGACCTGTGAAAAGTTGCATTTGAGGGAGGTTTGCATCCTATATAGAAAATAATGAGTTTTGACTGAATTTGGCAGAAGATGCCTTCTTCTTATGAGACTTGGCATTTACTCAGCGCAAGGGAGTCATTCATTTTTTTTCCTTCATGTTCCTAGTCAAAATTAATTGCTGTTTTAAATAATCCACAATTTATTCCTCAGTTCAAAAATTATCATAAAACGTGGTTATCAAAAGGTCACAACTTTGTCAGCATGAAGTGCAGTTTTATCTGCAGTGACATTCATTTATTTAAGAAAGCTATCCCTATTTCTTATTTTTATCAAATAGATTAAGTCCCAAGGATAATTGCACTCTGATACAGTGTGGGCTTTCCAGAGATAAGTGTAGAAATGAGGTCATGTCCTCATTTTTAATTATAATTGTTTTTCATTCCTGAAACACAGGAAAAAGTTACAGTTCTAATCAGCTAGAATCCATGCTTAAGAAATGAGAGTAATCAAAGGCAGTGGAAAAAGTCTTTGATAACTAACTGTTTTTCAAAGGAAACTATCTGCATTATCAGAGCAATAGACTCAGTGAATTGTGAGGTAGGGCACTGTGAAGGCAGCGGAAAATTGCTTCTGAGATGCTGCTTTTATTTGACTTATTTTCTGTTTGCTTTTAAAACTTGGAGGCACAGTCATCAAATGCCTTGTGACCTTCAGCTGTAGGGAA